GAGCACTGAAATTTTTAATATATGTCAGAAAATTTAATTTTCTATCTAACGGTACCAAATATAAGAGGATATCTCTAATAAGTCCGGAGTTATTCACAATAGACCGATCCGGGTGCCAAAAATCGACCAAAATCTCGACAAAAATCAAAAAAATTTTATCTTTCAAATTGATCCATTTAACGTTTTTTACATTTCTAGAGGTCTTAAAAACTCAAATAAGTGCATAAAACGCCATTGGATCAAGCTTAAAAAATTTCGAATTTTTCGAATTTTTGAAGATGAGTAAATAGTCAATTTATCTTAAGTCGTAAAAACGCTTGAAATATGGTTTTCTAAACGTAAAATTACGCATAAAATGAACAATAAAAATAAAAAAATAAATAGAAACTTTTTATATTTTGTAAATATTTTGTAAATTTCGTCTAAAGTATATTGAAAATGATAGTTGATTATAAATTTTGACAATTTTTGTTCGTACAAGCGATTTTCCCAATAGTAGGTAATCTGAAATAATTGCTTCAATTCTAATTTTAGGCTGAAATAGAGCAATTTGAGCTATTTTCAATTTTTTTTTCAATACAATAATCTTGTATTAAGATAAAAAAAAATCCAACCATAACAAATACAAAATGGTTTTTAAAGATAATTCCAGAGTTATTTGCTAAAAATCGGGCAAAATTTTGTCAATAATCAAAAAAATTAAAAACCTGAAATTTGATTGAAATGCACTTGTAGAAGTCTAAATAACTCAAAAAGTGAATAACACTTTTATTTCAAGAGTTTCTGCTGAAACAGGTCATGAAATTGTCGTTTTAGCTTTGAATTGCATATTGTGAAGTCAAAAATCGACTTGAATCTTGAGATTTAGTGCAAAAATTGTTATTTTACGTTAAAATAAGACAATTCTGAGCGATTTAGCTTATTTTTGAATCTGAAATTTACTTACTTGAAGAGATTTTTATTAAATTTAGCTCTTTTTGGGGTAGAGATTATGCTGAAACATGCCAAAAATTGTAGTTTTGCTCTGAATTATGTGATTTAAAGAAATTGCAACGATTTACCTTATTTGTTTTAAGTCAGAATCTCACTTACTTTAAAAGATTTTGCTTAAATAGGACACAAATTCGTCGTTTTATTTCAACCGAAACAGTCTAGAAAACAGTTTTCAGGTCCGAGTTGCAATATTTCAACTAAATCCAAACACTTTACCTCATTTTTGGAGACTGAAATTGATTTATTTCAAGAGATTTTGAAGAAATAACTTAGAAATTGTCGTTGAATTTGATCATTTAGCTTGTTTTTGAATTAAAAACAAAAAGAGAGTTAAAAACAAAAAAAAAACCTTTTTAGTTCGGAAATTAATTTCGATTTGAAATTCTGAGTAAAATTGAAGTTTAAGGTCAAGTTTTTAAACTAAACAAGTCGAGATTACGTTTAATTTTGTCTAAATAGACTAGAAAATCGCTTTTTAAGGTCTGAATTTTAGGAAATTTTGAGTGTTTTAACTCATTTTTG